TCACGGTTGGCTCAGGCCACTACCAAGCTTTGCTGAGTGGCTTCCAGAAGCACCCGACGGCACATCGTTGGGTTAGTATGATTACGGATGATGGTAAATCTGCTCGGGTCTGCACTGAACAGCAAATGCAGCATGCATACTGCAACTGCTATCTATTTGGATTGCAGATGAAGCCCTGACCCATTCGATGTGTCGTTACGCTTATAATTGCTGCACCGCCAAGCTCGCTTCTGAACTCCATGCATATAGGATCTGAGTGCTGATAGGCTGTGATACTTTTTCACCTTGTTAATGTTCTTACAGCCTCGCTTGGTCATTCGTGACGGGGGCGTGTGCAAGTGTCCGCTCTGCCATTCGTGGCGGGACACGTAGAAGTTGTAGTTTGTTAGAGAAGGCACGTAGTGCTGTAGCGCGTTGTGCAGCTTCACGCCGAGCCTTTAAGGCTTGTTCTCGAGCGGTCGCAAAGCGTCCTTTCTACCGGACGCTGCGCTTTGAATGAATGAAAACGATGCACTCTGCGTACTTGATCCTATGTAGTTCTCTCGAGGGCTTCGCACGGAAGAACCCGTCGCGATGCTTTCGGGAACACTTGAAACAAGAGAAAATGTTTCTATTCTAGGTTACCATTGAAGCGTTATGATGTTTTTTTTTGTTTTTTGGCGATGTTTTTTGGAATGTGTGTTTTGGTAGAATCGCCGTTGGAAGGTGGCAACTGTCACAGAATTCCGCTTGGGAAGGAGCATCTGCTTTTTTGGTGACTTGAGTGATACGGCCTTGGAAAAGAGGTCTTTTTTTGCATATGCGGGCCTCGGCGGCCTCGGTGACTGCGCGCGAGCGAAGAGGTACAAGACGAAAGGTGAATGACGAGCCGACAAGTCAGCACAAGTCGTTCAGCCAAACTATAAAAACCATTTTCCCAAGACCTTTATGGTGACTTCGTATCGACAGCAAAGCTTTTTGGCCATTCATAAGTTCTGCAAGGTAGCAAACGGAAGCGCAAAGCACCACGCACCGTTGCACACCACAAGAGCAAGTGGTTCGCCATTGGGCATGAAGAAGTTCTGAGCCACGTGCCCAATGCAGTTGCAAGCCTCCAAGTGGAACGCTTGGAGCCACAGAGTTCGTGCATCCTCAGGGTTTGTTGCAAGTTTGTAGAAGTGTTTGGGTGGTGCTGACCGCTTTTATTTTCTTTTTGATTTAATTGCCAGAATTCAGCATGCGCGAACGGCATTCGCGCATGGTTTGACGTTCGAAATTTTTCCTTGTCAACATAGAAGTCCCACTGTCCCGAAACATTCAGTCCTCAACATTTCAACATGGAGAAGGACGTGTGGCAGTCACCCACAGCTGGAATGCAAAAAGCAGCATCGTTTGGCAAAAGGTTTATCCTTGTGATTGTTGTGATGTCAAAGAATCTAGTTTCCCGCATGCAACACGGCCTATTGAGAGTTTTTTGCAAATACGTCCTTGGTCTTGTTGGCTCAAGCGTTTGCAACGCGGCCTGCGTTTCAATTGGTCGCGCCAGAAACTTTCTCGATATTTGCAGGTCACGTTAGATTGACCATTGTTTGGGTTCGAGGTTAGTTGAATTCAACTGTTGCAGAAACTCGGAGCAATAATTTCGTGAGCAGTCGCAAATGAAGTTGCGTTGCCAAAACAGTTGCCATCAATTGTGATTGAAATTGTCTCACATTCATGTCAAATATCATGAAATGGTGTTTGTGGACGTAGTCATGTAGCGATGATGGCATGGCAACGATGGTGTTGTCCAGCGGGGAGGCTTGATTTGTGTTTGGGAACCGGTGTCCGACATGCCCGAGGGCAAAGTGCTGACAGGTGTTAGTTAAATGGGCGATCAATCACTTCGCGTGCCACCACGAATTGTCCGAATGATCGCTGTTCTGCGGTTGGGTGTTGTCTGGTGCGGCTGCCTGAAGGAGCTCCCTCCGGCAGCTGCGCAACCCGAGACCGCACGATTGGTGGAAGGCAATTCCATTGAAGTTCAGCTGAATCGTAAGGCATGGTGCACATGCCGCATGACAGCTTTTCGCAGTCTTGTTGAATTCGGCTTACCTCGTGCCGACATGTACAATAGTCAGGCAGAATCATTTTCTGCTTGGTGAAGTTTTTGTTGCTGCTCGTGGAAGCTGAGGAAGTTGTTGGATGGAGAATGCTTGACAACAGCCAGCCAAAGCCTCAGCCTAACGGCAACCGACACAGCGCGAAACGTCTTGTCGCAACTTTTTCTGTTGGCTTTCTGTGTCGACGTCCTGGAGTGCCTTTGACCTGAAGGCGATGGCAATATGTCTTTGCTTTTCCAATGGACTTCAAGAGTGACTACTGGTCTTCTCCAGCCTCTGAGCCCAACGAAGCGTGGGACAGGACCGAAGTGGTGCGTTGTGATACCCAACTGCATAGGAACATAGCGCGGCTTAAAACTTCCGGGCAGGATCTTTACCCGTTTGGATGGAACTGCCAAGATGACGTTCTCAACAGGAACTACAAACAGACAGTTTCATCAAGCTGCTTCTTGGTCGCGATTGCTAGTTTGTAACCACAGTCTCTAGCAAGGCTACGGATTCCGTTACACCGAGCGAACGTGGACAAGTGTAGCTCGATGAGGTATTAGATGAACTCGCCCGTGCCTCTGTATTCGTTCGTGTCTGGGATGCTTGTTGCCGACACCGTGTGTAACGAGCACGCTCGACATGAAGATGACCGAGGTCAAAATTCTAACCGGGCCATGGTGCGGCTTCGAAGTTGGCAAGTACAGGCTCGGCACACCATCTAATGGCAAGTCAGTTCGTTGAAACGAAAACATGGTCACATGTCTCGCCTGGACCTGCTCCCCGACAGATGTCTTTGCGTGTAACGGTTCACGAAACATGCAAGGACTATCGACGAGGACGAGCTTTTCCTTCTTGTCAGCCTGGAGGATGAAGAGGCATCGCATTTTGAAATACGGAAAGGAGAATCCTCAAACTTACGTATCTCTCCAACTCTGAAGCCGTCGTCTTGGAACATCTCTGGTCTCATGGATAGGGAATGAATTCGGAACCGCTTTTTCGGCCAGGCGAAGCAGGGAACCTGGCACACTTTCCGAGTCCCAGACGAAACGCAATGAACCAGATGCAACGAAGGTCACATGGGCTAAAGATCATATGAAGCACGGCTAGCTCTGGTTCATGGGCTTTCGTGCAACGAGCTAGTCAGCTAATCGACACATAGTCACTATCTTGCACAGACAAAGGCAGTTGTCGAATTCCGCCTGCCGTTGTAGGGAACTTTCAAAGCCTATCTTGACTCCTGACCATCGAGAGCTTTTCTTCTTGCCACAGCGTTTGCGATCATTGTGTTTAGCGACAGGCCATCAAAGGCATTGCCGAAAAGGAGGAGTTTCCTGAATCTGGGCAGCATTTAGGGCCACGACCCATGTGCGCGCATCTGAATCAAGCATCTGGAGGCCATGCTCCGCCATGATGTCGTTTACAAAGATCTGACTTGTGCGACAGACGAGTCGACAGGCATGTGGTGCAGTCCGTCTTGTCTGACTCAATGACGCCGCATCATAACCGTATTCTTCGTCATCGCCGAACTTGCAAAGGTTACTGCTGGGGTCGGCAACGTTCAGCAGCAGCAGGAGTCCTATCTAGAACGCCCAACCCAGCAAGTCCCTCAATAGGAGCTGGTTGAAAAGGTGGCTGGTCAAGTTCCGTTTCTTCGTTTAGGGCGACCATAATTTTGATCTTAAGGTTCGTTGGTTGCATATCAGTTCATGTCAGTCATGTTTGGTTCCACGCCTGGCGCGTTGTACGAAGTTGGGAATGCTGACTTCACGGCTAGGGAACAACCAGGAAGGTTCGTGTAGCTCTCTTAGGGTGGGCTTCTGCGCTGAATGCACCACTGCCTGCGCATCCTTCATTGCTCACAGCCCCTTCCAAGCTCTTTTTGAGTCGCTCCTTGCCAGGCCGAGATCGATTCCGTGTCCGTGACTTTGGTGAGCCTTGGCAGAAAAGCCGATGCGGAGCTGCAAGTGCGAGGGCAGTGGCTTACATCTCAAGTCCAGGAGTTCCTCGATGGGAAGAGGCATACAAACAGATATCCTGGTCATGCCACTCGTCAGATACCCTCTGAATGAAAAGCAAAGTAGCATTGGCCCGCTATCAACCTGCTGCTATAGGTTAGATATACTGCCGAAGTGGACGAGGTCTGTGAGGCACACGAGAGTGTGGGAAGGGGGAAAGTGCACGCTGCTTGAGCGAGAAACAGTTGTTCCGCAGGACTTCTATACGGCTGATCATATACGCCTTGCACGGCATCGCATCCGCAGATTTGTGCGCTTGCAATCGCTGGTCTCAGTGCCTAGTATGATTTGGTCAGAGCTGCAGATGCCAGTGTTCAACTCTGGCACTTCCTGCGTTTCGCTGTGCTGGTGTGAGGAAGGCGTGGTGAACCAGTACTTCTGTGTCCATCAGTGGACAGACTTGCAGTTCTTCTATCAGGTGCAGCGCTGGAATGAGTCTTTCCAGCAACTCGAATCGCGGCGCCGACAGATGCCTCATTTGCTATGAAGACTGTCTTGCATGAACCGAATGTCAAGGATCCATGCAACCTCCTGCAGTGGCCGTCAGAGCACCTCCCTGACAGCACCTGTGATCTTCACTAAGTCCCGAAAAAAAAGAGCTGTCCCGCACGCAGAACAGAAAGTGCAGGCAGTAGGTGTTGCTTTCGCGTTTCAGCATGTGCAGAAGAGTTGTGAAGAATCTCATAGGCTCGGGACAGTGACAACGGCAGCTAAGGTATTCAGCAGTACTTCGGAGCAGACCTGTCATTCTTCTTTCATTGGTTCAACGCCTACACGTCGCGCAGCTTCATTGTTATGGCCAGTTTCCCCGAGCTGACCCAGCCTTTTGGTAGGTTTGCTTGTTGCAATGCTGGGTGTTCGACCTTGTAACCTGCTTGAGGCGGTTTCTCTTCTGGCCTGCTCTGCTGTCCACGCCGATCCTGGCTCAGGATTTCTTTTTCAAAGAGCATCCTGGATACAGATTGGTACTCGTAGCGAGCCGGTTAGCTTGTGCTTGCCGCCGTGTGTGCGGACATAGTAAAAGAGAGTATCGAGGTCGATCCCAGTCTCTCGGCTTTGTTCAGACAAATCTCCAATTCATGACCGTTGCTGGGATTTTTCCTGACATCACGCTGCGAGAAAGCTCGAAACAGCTGTTGCTGCGGCTTGATCGGATGCTGTCAGAGTGAACTGAGAGCGGAGGAGACGGTTCGCTGGGGAGAGCAGCTTGGACTGGTCATGACTCATCCACAGGAGTCGGGATCTGCAGAATCTAGATGTTGAGATGTTTTTGGACACTTCCTTGCCGTCGCCCTTCTGAAAGCGAATGCGAGGTATGTGGCATTCTCCATCTTTCTGGGAGTCTGGTCCACCACCTTCCTGGCAAGGTGGGCTCGAGCGGCTCGGGGGTTGCTCGGAGCTTCGGGTGCCTGGCAGGTACAAGCATATGAAGAACCTGAAGGCCGGGTTGGGCCGGGCCGCTTTGGGGACGAAATCCGGGAGATGGGAAGAGCTTTCTCTGAAGATGTGTTGATGCTTGGCGACTGTGATGTTTTGAAGTTCTTCCTGGAATGGCCAACCCCTGTTCGAAATCTCGAAACAGCAACACTGGCTGCGATGCTTTGCCAACACAGCAGAGGTTTTGGCAAAGCTTCTGCTGCAGGTCCTCAAGTGGGGCATGAAGCACCACGATCGAGAATTTGCCGAAATCCGCAGGTTCGGGGGTGGGCATGCAGATTCACACTCACAATCACGTGCACGATGCTGCGATGATTGACTCAGTCCTTTTCGTCAAGTCTTGATGACTGGCCAGGCAGTTTCGCGACGACTACAGAGACAGCTGGGGCGAGTATTTTCAGCAAATCTTGCACTGGACCGCTTCGGGGCACGCAGTGCGCGTGAGATGTTTTAAACACAGTTCCAGTGTCGACGACGAGAACCTGTGTCGCATGGGGAGAGTGGGACAACGTGTAATCCAACCAAAGTTATGCCGAGCCCGACACTCATTCTGTGTCCAGCCCTAGGCCCTGGCGGAGCACAGGAAGTCTCCCATTACATGAGGGTGAAAGCAGCTCCAATTCAGACCTTGCGAAAGTCGGTTCACGTAATACCATGTTGCTGCGAAGGTGAAAGTTAAACTTTCTCACAGGAAAAGGACACGGGAAAAGGTTCATGGTTCGATTTCTTCGGCTCTAAACTGGATTCCGTTCACTACAATGAAGATCTGCTATCTCAATCCACATTGCGGGAAGGAGTGGGCTGCGGAACACACCGCCCAAAACACTTACCTAACCCTCTACCTGATTCGCAGTAGGGCTAGATCAGCCCTAGACACCCCTCAAGATGTATGGATTCAGTTGCGTGTTGGCTTGGATCATCGGAAGAGCCATTCGGTGAAGAAGCCACAGCGTCTTAGCCTTCCCCTTACCTTGATCTGCCATTTGTGTCGGGAGTGCGACTTGGAACCAGACAATCGGTGACAAGAGCTTAACTGGCACGGTGAGGGCATCCCAAAACACTGAAGAAGCCCGAGACGTCCATCGCGGATTGCTGTTCACAGTACACATGGCAGTCAGCTGCACAGTACTGTGTCGATCAGTTTCTTTCTCAACGTGTAGGCTCTTTCTGTTCGCTTTACTTTCACACTAGTGCCAATCACATAGTCATTGGTAATCATTCAACTCAGCATGTTTCAGGTAGTATGTGTTCAACAAGACTTCTTGCCCAGTCACATTTCGTGCCGTTCCCAGTACTCCTGATATAGCTAAAGTTGCTATTCGCTATTACGTGACGTTTCAACCGTGAAGCAGCAGCTGCTGTCATGTTGCTGTAGGGGTCAGTTTTACATGACTGCGACTTTTCTGGTCATCACCAGTACTAATACTGCTTCTATTTGCAGTACATCGCATAGCAATGTGCCTGCATGCAGTCTTCGTGCTTTTCTTCATTCATTGCTCACAGGTGCTGTCGCCGTGTCAACCGAAACGCTGCGACTTGCTGACGAACCGTTGGTTTTTGAGGTCGATATTTGTCACCAGATGTTCCCGCAGATGTTCTTACATCAACGATGGAAACACGCGCAATCTCACCCAAACTACACGGAGACCGTCGGCATGTTCGAGCCATCGTGGAGTCAATGACGGTTTGTCATGGACAAGTATTTGGTTGAGTTTAGCAGGGAGACTGATGCCGTCGCTGAAAAGCAGTCGCGGCTGTAAACTGGTTATTTGTACAAAGCTGTCACGTTTGTTTGTACAGGATAGAAGGCACGCCGTCTACATGACCCGGGTTCGTGCACAAATGAACCTGCAAACAAAACAGAAGAAGATTCCGAAGATTCGGACTTGGGACGCATCTTGACCGAGAGCATGCATACACTGTCGGCGAAACATCAGGCAGACAGCCCAAAAGCACTGTCTGCCAGGATTCTCTGTGCCGCCTTCATGGCCGAAACAGTGTTCTTCACACTGTTTGCAACTCGTCCGCACAGTGCCGTTTCGAGTTTTCATGGTTCCTGGGCGCGTGGTTGTCTGAGTCCTTGACTGTCTTCAAGGTCAGCCAACTGCGGATACAAGCTCGGGTAGATCCGATGGGGCGATCCTATGGAATTCGGTATCCGGGCAGTGATGGGAACTGAAGCAAGTGTCGAGCCAGTCGTTTGGGCCGCGAGGCACCAACACCTACAGGCATACGGAAAGCGGCTTGAATGCAGATCGAGCGAGCAGGGTATTGCCTTTGTCTCGAGCTGCGGCGAACTATAACAAGGTACATGATCACTGCCAACATCAAGATTGTCGATTATCTCTGGACGTCCCTGTCCACACTCCTGTCCAAGAATGAGAATTGGAGGACGGCTTCGCCGGCTTCGCTCTGTGTAACGCGGGGGTGCTCGAAGGACACCAACAGAGTTGCGCAACAAGGCTTCAGAGAAGCTGTTTGCTGTTAAGCGTCTCGGAAAGCCCTAAGCATCCCTGCACTCTGAGTTCATGTCGTTCTTGACGTCTCAGGTAGAATGTCCGCTTTCCACTGAATCTCAGGTTCGTTGTTTACTACTACCCCTTCCTCTACACGACACTTTGCCACAGTCAGCTTCTGTTGTCGGGCACACTTTGGAAACGAATCTGTCCCTGACGTCAGTCGGAATGTATGTTGAGGATTTTCATCAAACCTGCGATCTATGACATCGACATCCAGCCATGCTTCAAGGCAAGTCGGCTTGAACTGAAGGGGAACGCTTCAGAAGGGTGCCATTGCAAATGCTCAAGAGGCATTGAGCAGCGATCTACGACTCTTTTTCTTCACGCAGATTGCTATGGAGGCCGCTAAGGATCAATCAGTGAGATGCCGCGGCACAAGAAACGGCAGGTCATATTTCTCTTTGTGTCTCTGGTTACTTCCTGGCTCAAGGTGGGCACAGTCTTTGTCCCACTGAAACGGATCAGCAGCTTGTTGATTGCGTGACCATGCACCCATCGTGGGCGCTACGTGAGAACTTGCTGCAGGTTGCTTCCGAACGAAGGCGATTCGCCAACAAGGAGTATTCGTACTTGGCTCCTTGAGTGAAGTAGAAGCTAGCCACCTGCTAGGTGTGTGCAACTGAAAGATGTGGAGCCTTACACGTAATCTTCAGCAGCTGAGGAATATCAGGCCAAATGTCCTGAGTATTCAGATGAAGACGCTTGGAATGAGAATTGGTTGACAAGGTCTGGAGTCAGCCCCCAAATTGAAATGGCTTCCTGTCAGACGTGTGCCGAAATGCTGAGGACTTGATGTCGGATGTGCAGCTTCAGGTGATCAACTACGGGTTCTTAGTGATGTTGCTTGGCTGGGTGCGGTGGCATGACATGCACAACATGCAGAGTTTTTGCTAGTGAACGGCCGTTGAGGTTTGGAGTCTGTTTGCCATATGTGCACTGGACTTAGCTTCTGCTCGATGTGCAGAACGGTAGCTGTTGTGTCCAGTTGTACAGTCAGGTGCTGTATTTGCTTCTGTGTGAACTTTCTGCACGGGCCTGAAACGAAGACTTGAGTGTCGATTCATTCATCACGGTTTTCGATATTTTGCTTGAGTCGAGGTTCAAGCGCATCCTTGCGTGCGCCGGCAGTGTGTGGGAGGTATTTCGCAAGAGCTTAAGGCTTCGTTCGTTTAGCAGTTCTGATTTCTAAAACTCTCGCACTGCAGCCAAATGTCACGAAATCGAGGTGCCCTCCATGCATGGCCCGTCGCAGAATGCGAGAGCATGCCCGCGCATGCCTGGCGTGCACAAGCATCATGGGTATGCACGGCTTGAGCAGCAGAATGCCATGCCCGAACCTCACAGAAAGCAGTACAGGATGTTACGAGTAGCTTCTGGGGTTGAGAGTGTTGTTCAGAAGGTATCTTCAGGTCAAGCGGGGTGACGAGTTGCCTCGTTGCTGAAGTGTCCTTGTCAAGAACTGGCGAACAGAGCCTCGAGGTTCGATTGCCTGGAGCCGCATCACTTGATACTTCCAAGCTCAGTTGCAGGTACAAGGTCTCGTACATCTACCAAAGGCCGAGCCCTTTCGGAGCAGAAGGATTTGGTGCTGAGGACGGAGTTTCTGTGCCTAGCATGTAACATGAGGGGGGCCCGGGGCCTGTCAGGAGACTGGCACTCTGCGCTTTTCTGTTATGCAATTCAGGACATCATAACCCTTCTGTCGTGGATCGGTGTTATTTTCAACACCTTCTTGGCCGCTTGACTTGAATCGCAGAATCGCACGACGAGTAGCAGTCATGACAAGCTTTTAAATTTAGGTGATCTTCGTGTCGCCGCTCTGTGGTGACATGAGCTTGCACCCGAGCTCTTCTTCGAGCGCTGTTCTTTCAAAGCTCTAGGGATGTTTGTGTGTTGCCTGGATGCCAACGGAGAAGCAGCCCGAAGATCCAGCCAAAGCGCACGTTCCGGCATTTTGAGCTTGGCTCTTCTTATCTCAGAGAAGTACTTGGATGCCGACTGTTATAGTATTTTCTTTTTTAGTCGCAGGTCCTGCGAGCGGTGACACGGGGAGCGGAAACAAGGTCACGTACGTGCCGATAAAAACCTGGTGCCTCGAGGCGTCCTTGCAAGCTTGTAGAGGCCGAATCTACCGCAAATTACGGTGTGTCTGATCTTATGTGTATTGTCCGCCTACCCGGGTGCAGGTGTCAAATGTCGTTTTACAGCCTCAACTGGCCCAGCTCCTCCTTCAAGTCTACACCTTCAGAGAAATGATACCTCCAAACGAAGGCAGGCATGTTGTTCCCCCACTTCACCACAACAAGAACACCTGTGCTTTGGCTGTGCTGGTGAAGAGCTGGGCTTCCGCATGCCGCTGGACCCCTACTTCAACAGCGGTACAGGGATGATCAAATGCTGCAGCTCAAAGTATATACAGATGTATATATACACATATTCTATATGCACACATAAAAAATACATAATTAAACAAGTAAAAACATAAATAAATAATGAATATATATATATATATATATATGTATGTATGTATGTATATATATATATATATATTGTCACCCCCGACATGATCCACCCCAGCCTTCTGGCCATCTGTTCGTCCACAGTCTCTTGTCTCCAAATAGTTTCTCCGAGTCCCAGAAACCATCGGTTTTTACAGTAGCTTCTGCACTTCACGCATACTGACGTCTACTTATTGTGCTTGTTTGTGGATTGTGTAAACCACCCCAAGACCAAACCAGAATCTGGTTCTGCGTCCGCGCTAATGGGAAGAAACACTTGAACCTTGCTCAACTAACAATGACACTGGAAACCTCGATTGTTTCTGCATAGTTACTTTTGTTGTCATTCTTCAACAAGCCCGTTTTAATCACTAAAGAAGCACAAGAAGGCTCCTGAGCCCTTTATCAGTGGCGAGCGGCGAGAACTCAACTAGCTCTTGCGATCTGTCAACATCAGAGTTTTAAATTTTCATGGTTCGGAATTACGATCTAGTCTCCCTCCACCATATTCCAAATACATTCGACCAGAAGTAAAGTGTGTCGAGCTTCTTACGCTTAGAAACAGGGATGGGACTGCTCAATTCTTGGTATCATCTGGAATGAACATGGTTGGAGAAGGCTCAGTTTTTCTGTCTTGTGAATATGCAGAGACAGAACAGCTTCTTTTTACTATATGAAGATGGGAAGAGGCTTAGGCGAGAAGGCAGGGTTCGTTGTTCCTTCCTTAGCAAGACGCAAAAGACCACTTGGCTCATGCGAACGAAAAACCAGACTCAATTGCGCCTTGCTAGCAGCAATTAAACCAAGAGGGCTGTTACATCGTTCAACAAGACATGAAATGGCTGCTTTCCAGAATTGGTAAGTTGTCCGAATGGCGCTTCTGGCCGCTGTACTGTTGGCAATTTCGTGGAAGTGTCCTAACTCCCACGAAGCATAAATGGTAGACCGGCGTACTTCCATGTTTCTTTGGAAAAAAAGAAAGGTTGATCTTTCCTTGGTCTTTGCTCATGTTCTTGCTGCTAGCACGCGAAAATCTGACTTCGTATTCTGGTTGTAGCAGGAATTGTTGAGCAGGAATAGAAAACCTCCTGCAGTTGATACTCCAAAATACAGTAGCATCATTTTGAAAGTATACAATGTGAGAGCTCCTTCACCTATGAGCGAGGTACCACATATGTAGCACGGACTGATTGCATACAGAATCAACGCCTCGACTAACTGTAAAACTCAGCCACATCTATACAACAAGAGCAACTACTAAGCACAATAATACCGCTACTGGTACTGCTGCAATTAGAATTGGAACAAGAACCACAGTTAATAGGGACATCAGCACTACGACTAATAATAACAATACTGCCAATACAATCGTCACAATATCATAATTGGAACAGTAAAAAATAACATTGATAGTAGCACTAGTGATAATAATACCACCATAGCACTAAATCCTGGCATCTATGAAGAATGTGGGACAAGGAATTTTCGTGAAATATATAATCCCTGCCGATATTGTCGCATCTGAGGGTTGCCAGAATGCTGCCAGGTTCAGATTACCCCAAAGTTTCTGAAGCCTGAAATGCGAAAACATGGGCAGGGATCACATTTCCCAAAATTCCTAAAATCTATGGTCAGTTCGGGGGGTAGTTGCTCAGATTTGGGAACTTTTGTGAGGTTTGATCCCTGCCAGTGTTTTCGCATTTCAGGCTTCAGGAGCTTTGATCCCTGGCAGTGTTTTCGCATCTGAGGTTGCCCACCTCCCGTGATCCACTGCTGAGCAAAAGCAATCTCGGATGGATCATGGGGGGGGGGGGTGAGCATATAGCTATCTATCTATCTATCTATATATATATATATCGCAATCTATATACGTGCACACATAAAGCTGTTTATATACATAAACATATATGTACAGGTAAGTATGCATATATACAATATATAATATAGATACAGATATAGATATTGATGTAGATATAGATACTCAAGACATGCTGAGTGTCGGCTTTCTTTATGAACACGCCTCCTGAAACAACTACGCACCACCGACGTGGCACATGACGACCTTCCACCGGCTTCAATTAGCCCACGACGTGAACACGGAGTCGCTTCTCCTGAGGTTTCGAGCACAAGCTGCTAATTTTCATTTCCGCTGCATCCTCAGGTTCTAGAGCAGTGCAGGCAGCGGATCAGCAATCTGCTGCAGGTTGAGAACGCAATCCTTGTGCTCAAGACTCTCATAGACACGGTCCGGCACTAACAGCCCTACGTAGCTTGCGGCCGCCAGCAGCTCGTTTCGCTTCAGACGCATCGCTTTCACAGGCCATCGGTCCCAGCAGCACAGCGCAGCGAAGGATCGAAGAGCTTCTTGGTGACAGTTCACAAAGTGGCTGTTTTTGACGGCACGATATGCCCATGTGCCCCGGTGCATGGATATTTGAGGCATCAGGCGAAGGTGATCCCAAAGATCCTGCGCCTTGGCTTGCAAATCTCGCAAGTGGCCATCGCACGCAGTCCAGCTCCCGCTCTCTACTTAGGCAGGAGCACAATCCAACAAGCTGGAGCGTGCTTGTGTTGCCGGCTTGATTGGAGCATAGAACTCGCGCAAGCCTGTTATGATCCGCTTATGTCTACAGTGCAGACGGTGTTTTGCCAGGCAAAGGGAGCTTCAAGGCTTGCATTGCCGAATGGACGAAGCAGCTTGTGCTAAACTTCAGTGCTTGTGAAATTTGCTGAGCTGCGACATCTACTGCGCTTGCATCATGTCTGCCGATGTTTCCGGGCAGGGTAGAGCTGGCATTGAGCTTTGTTGTCTTCACAATCTTGCATGTTTGGTTTTTGCAGGATGTCTTGCATCGCTAAAACTCCGAAATTTGGGTGCATCTGACAGTGCCACGGCATTTGCAGGTATCGGGGAGATGCTCCGATGCACGTAGGAGTCCAGTCACAATCGATGGAAGATGTAGCTTGGTGTGCTGATAGCAGTGCGGCAGACAACCGGGTTGTTGGAGCCAGCACAAGAGTAGGGAACATGTTCATCAGCAACCCCAGCTTCTGCCACAGCTGACTTGCAATGCCAAGCCAGCTGACGGCCAGTGCTACAGAGTGCACGGACTTCAAGACGAAGTCTTGCCCCACAGCCAAAGTCTGGAGAGCCATGTAGATAAAGGGCTACGGCAAAAATCTGCCTTGGCCTTGTATGGATAGATTGCAGAGTCAGCGCGACTTTGCGAAGTAGGCGAGCTGTTCGATGCAACCGGATCTCGTGTGGATTCAAGCAGTGGTCGGACGGGCTAACACTTTGCCGCAAGGGAGTATTCCCTGCGAGCATCTTTTCAAGACTCCACGGTCGTCCCGGAAATTGAAGCGGTTGAAAGAGACACCTGTGTTTGAGAGCGCGTGAGTGTGCATGAGCTTCTCGAGGCCTGGCAGAGGCCCAAGGCTTTTCTTTGCTTTGCAGCTGTTTCAACGTAGCAGCCAGGCAGGGTGCCCGAGGGGGCTACCTGCCTGTGCACAGGCCGGTCTCTGCTGGAATCTTCCACTCTCACAGCACACGTTTGATTGGGTGCTGATGCGACATTCATGTGTTGGGTGTCGATAATGGCCACCCTGTGGCAGATGCGGCTGTATGGAGCCTGGAAGCTGCTTCCTCTGCTGCCATGGGCGTTGCTTGTCTTCAGAGTGTGCCAGACTTTTGTTTTTTGAAATTGTTTTCTCTTCTGCTGCCCCGGGCCCCGGGCCGGGTGCGGGTTTTCAGGCGGGCATTGCTCAGCCGCAGGGCCGAAGCTGGTGTCGGCCTCATGCGAAATGAGTTGCAGGGCCTGGATCCTCCGAAGTTGCAGTACTTAGTCTCGCACGCGTGAATCATACGAGAACGGTGCATCAACTCGCAAAGCGCAAAGCCTGCAGGTCTAGCCTCCTTGGCGGCCTCTGAAGAGGGAGAGGCAACGGGCAAGCGATGCCTCGCTAGCGCTCGTGAGCCTGTCGCTGAGGCCCGGCAGAGTTCGGACTTGATCTTGGAGGCGTGCATGCAGCAGGACCAGTGGCATCGCCCGGCTCCCATGACCAGATGCACTGACATGATTAGCAGATGTCCATGTGCCGTGCACTAAGGAGTTTTGCTTCACAGCCAGCTGAAGGGCGTTTGCATGGAGATGTGCCATGCACCCAGTTTGCCTTCGTTGAAGTTGCGCTGCAGATGCCGCGTTGAACCACAAAATCTCCACGATGCTCTGTCCCACATTTATGGACCACAGCACATTTCCATGTCCTCGTTTAATCCAAAGGGGTTCTTGCGATTGACTGAGGCAAGGCCGCACGGCGCTGAGAATTTTACTTGTGGCAATTCCACAGCAGATTTCGCTTGCCCGTTTCGAGTATTGTAGGGCAGATCCAAGCAGCCTGATGAAGCCCTGCGAGGTTGGGCTGTATCCAAACTGTCCACAGTGTGGCAGTGGGTCGGCATCTGCTGCTGCTGGCCATCCGGGCGATGTCGCAATCCCAGGGCCGTCTACTGAGGCCTCGCCAGGTGCCCAGTGGCTCTGTTGCTTTTTTTTTCCCTCTAGGTGTTGAAGTCTCACCAGCTCCAAACTCCTGGACTGTTTCGCTCTTTCTCACATGAAATCAGTCTCTGACAGTGCCTTTCCGAGTGCTCTTGCAATGGCATGCTGCACTCGGACACTGCCACATCAATTCGTTTTTTGTCCGAGGACCTGGGATAGCATTCTCTTTCATATGGAGCAGATGGGCCAGTGGGGAAGGGATATGATCAGGCGGGAAACTCAGCAGTGGAGCCTGTTTTTGAGAATCTCGTGAGATCTTGCAAGGCACTGGGAGACTCCCGAGAAAACGTCTCAATTACAACTGTGGGGAGCCTTGGAAGTAGACCGTGCATCCCGCCATGAGAACATGCAGCAAGTTGAATGAAGGTCTGCGCGTACTGCCGCGAACAGCACGCTGAAGACAGAAATGAACGCATCAAGCTGCGTTGCTGCAGATGCCACGTGCGGGTGCCTGGTTCATCGAATTCTGATGGCTTTTGGCTTTTCTCATCCTGATGGACAGTCCGACAGTCCCCTAAGCGCCAAGGCGACGAGCAGAGCTTCAAGGCGAGGTGCTTCTGGGACTCTGAGCTTCAATTCTGCAGTTCTGTTGTGGGGTGCTCAGCTTGCTCACATGTTTCCGCTTCCGTGGAAGTGACAGCCGCCAGAGCACGGCTTCAATCAGCTCTGGTCGAGAAACAGCCCCGCAGTTGAAGAAGGCGCAGTAGAAGTCAGAACGAATTATGCCGCCGTAGATCACCAAAAAGTGATGAAGCACTACGGCAGGCATGACGAACGACCACGACCAAGACAGCCACCGCCAGCACCACCACCAACACCAGGATCACCACCACGACCACAACAACTCGGACGACCAAGACCACCAGGCCTAGAGACCACAGATCAGCAGAGCTTTCCAGGCTTTCCACTTTCCCACAAGTACCAACGGGATTCATGAGAACCGGCCGAAATGCTACCCGACGTGATTTAAAAGAGGCGGGGATGTGAGCGCCAAACATGCACTGTGACGCAGCGGGAGCCGCGTGCCGGGAAACTTCACCGAGCAGCCGCCCTAACCAGTTTGTCTTACTCTGAACCTAAAAACCCCAGATTGTGTATCTGCTTTGAAAACATTCAGGAAGCCTTGTGTTCCAACCCTTTCAAGAACCCACTCCCAGCTTCAAGAGAGCGGCTTGACAGCCTCACAGGAAGGATCCTGGCAACCTGTGTGGACATCTGCTGGGGACTCAGTGTCTCAGAGCTCACGCGCTGAGTCCGATGATCCTTGAGGCCATGGTCCGACCTGCAAGGAGTGTCAAACCTTCGCCGACTCCTCACTGCTCCAAGAAGCGCGAGCTCCCTGAAAGAAACATGTTGGCTTGGGTAAGGCAGCGCGAGAGACGAGTTGGTCCTTGCTCATGAAGCAGGCAATCATTCTCTTGCAGCTGACATGCTGACTTCTGCTGCCGCACACCTGCTGACCTAGCTGCACTTGATGAGCCGGGAGCATGACGGCACTGCCAGCCATGTGGCTCAAGATGACTACACTATGAAGAGTGCACGATCGAGAGCGCGCAGTGGAAGTCTTGAGGTGGGGTCACCTAGAAGGAGAATGTTGGAGAACCATGGAGCAGTCTAAATATGGTTTCAATTTGGGATCACTACCTTGGCTTCCGATGAGTCGGTGGTGGCCCTTTCGCCAAAACCAGGACCTGAATTGTCTTGTGTTTTTCGCTCTCCGCACTTTGTCCTGGCGCGATGTGTTTGCGCCTGTTTGCCACGCTTCAGGATCTGGCAGATGCTTCCCAGACCAATGCTTTCTGTCTGTGTTACGATTCCCACAGCAGCTGTGGTGTAAAGCTAGGCAGCCGTGAGCAATGAACAGACGACTTCTTGCGATTGCAGCGCTTTGGGCATCTTGCGGCATCCTTCCGTGAGATCCCGCTCTGAGGCCGCGGCTGCCTCCTCCTCGCGTAGCTGGCTTCCGACCTTTGCTGGAGGCCCTCTGCTCTGCTGAGTTCCGGGCACATCCGCTCCCGTGCATGGCAAGGGCGAGATAGAGACTCCCGGGACATCGAGTCACAGCCGAGCGGCGTGAGTTTGCCGTCGATACGGTCCATAGGCCCATGGACCCGGCCTCGGACGGATGTCCGCCTCGGGACTCAGCAGCGCCCCTCGCAGGAGGTATAAGCATGAACGAGGCCGAGGAGGCCTTGACATTCTGAGATCGATGTTGAGATGCCAATGCCAAGTCTTTGGGTTTGCTTCCAGGCTCTCACAGCAAACTCGGATGTCATGTGCCCATCGATGCGACCCAGCTGCAACCCTTCAACTCTTGAAGCTGATCCTAGTTGGTGCTGATGCGAGGACAATCAAGCAGCGGATCATTGGCTGGCTGTCATGCACCCTGGCTTGCCTAGTTGCTTTATCTTGTGCCACACTACCAGTACTTGCTATGCGGTGCTGGGAAGCCTTGCAGTCTCTTTTACAACCTTGGGAAGTGTTTTTCCCACCGTGCTTGCTCTTTTTCCAGCCTCTTGACTCTTTGTTCTGACCTTGCATCTGGAGTCGTTGTTGGCTCACTTCTAAACCCTAGGTGATTCATCGGAAGAAGGCCAACATCAAAACAACATAGTTTCATATTTTTCAAAGTGAATGAATGTAGCCACACGTTGTTGTCCATCGCTTGCCTCTCAAGTCATCCGGACGACTGCGAGGTCTGGCGCTGGGCTTGGTCTTGGAGTTCAGCGGAATGGGCCGCGGGGTCCGTGCAGTAGTTGGGGGCGAAAAAGCGGCAGAGCGAAATTTGACAGCAGGAAGAGCCACCAGTTTCAGTTCAAGTGCGCTGACTTAGACCTGCCTAGGGTCACCGAGGATTTGCCATCTTGTACAGCGTGGGAAACTTGATCGCTTTGATGGGAACCTTCTTCCTTGCAGGGCCTATGAGGCTACAGAGTTCCACTTGTGGCTGTGTCGGTTTCACGACCGGTTGGTGAAGCGTTGACGCGAAGGCAGATTCGCCGAATGGGCCGCGAGCACCGATGGGCGGTCTCTCTTTGCTTTCTGGTGTCTATGGTGCTGACTTTGGTCGCTGCTCCGGCTGCAGTGAGACATGGCGGGCCATGGACTCTCTGCGTGGCTTGGGCACTCTCAGGTGGCTATGCTCCCGGGCAACTGGCATGGACGAACATTGATCCTGCTTATACTTACGCTCATTCAGTGGGCGTCATTGGCTCCCTGGTCCAAACAGCACGTGGCGAACTTTGCACGCTTTCGATCTTCTATTCCAGATTCTCAGCTGAGGTTTGGTACACGTCTCCTGGCTGCAAGCAGCAATGGGTTCAAGGTGACAAGAGTTAGCCCAGGCTTTCCTACATTCCTTTGGGCCGACGCACGGCGCTAGCAGCTATGAGGAGCTGCTGGAGACGCTGTATGGGAGAGTGAGGACTCCTCCCGGGGGCCATTCATGACCCGCAGAATCTGTACAGCTTCTGGCCGGCATCCAAGATGCCTGGCGTCTCTTAGCTGCAGCAGTCTGCTGCAGAGCCCAGCCGTAGCCTGGCTCTGACACACAGAGGGCTGGGATCCGCACAGGGCACAGGGAGCAGAAACAACTGCCAAAGTTGGTCTTCTTCCGGACAGATGCAGGTGGACCTTCTCGGGCATGCCTTCAAGCGGGTGGTTCAGGAGCTGGGAGTCACCAATATTGTCGGAAGCATGCCTTTCAACATAGCCAATCTGCCTTTCTCGTGTTTGCTGCAGCTTGCTGCTTATTTATCACTCGCATTGACCTCCTCAATTGGCGGTGCTCTGTTGCAGGAGGCTCGCGAGGATGCGTTGGACAAACAGGAGGAAGCATGTTCTCAAATGGAACAATGAAACTGAGCGTGCACTCCTCGAAAGACAGTTGCGACCACTCGAAAGCTCCTGACCAAAGCACAGAGAGAGAGAGAGAGAGAACCGTCATGCACCGCACATCACTGTACCACGGCAGGAGAAGCTCTCAATTTTCTGCTTTGCCTGGACGCCTCGGCGAGACTATGATGAGAAAATGTTAGCTGAGACCCGAAAGCAGCAGCTTTGCGGCATTTTCGTTGTGAGGCCGAGTAGCAATCGCTTCCTATGCCTTCCTTGATTGGAAACGCAGCGAGAAAGCTTGTTTTGGCTGCAAGGTATCGAAAGTGTGACGGCCATATCTTCTACACGGACCATGCTGCTCCTGGAAAACAGAAGGCCCCAGCTCAGAAGTTGTTTCCAATCTTCCCAACCCTAAACCGAACAGGAGACTGACTTCATGCGGGTCGTCGTGCCTCCACAGAGCGTGGACCGCAACGATGACAACTGGCTATATCACAGGACAGATGTGCTTGAAAGCGTGACGAATCACAATGATGAGGGTGCGATGCGGGCTTCTAGCCACGACTTGGCCCGTTGGACCGCTTGTGATTCTTTGACAGGAACATGGTTGGCCTTATGCCGTCATGGAACCATCTGATCCGAGTCTCGCACTGCATTGATCTATGGTGTTCGGAGTTCTCGGAGCGCTTCTCGGAGCTCTTGGAGCTGAGATTCGAACTTCGTGAACGAGCACGACTGGTTCATCAATTCCGAGTTGGATCACTTCCTCAGCCCCGCCTGGTACCGAATGTTGTGCATCTGCCGCAAGCGACTCAAGCTGGAGTATCTGAGGCCCGAGCCAGGCAGACGATTGCCGAGTACTTGCGTGGACTCCGCGATGGCTCCGAGGAAGAGAAGGACGCATGCAATCGGAGAGAGCGGAGTGCGCTCGCTCTCACCGGATCGCTTTCTGGAAGGCAAGCCTCGACGGGCCGATCATGCTGATGTGGGGGAATGCTTTCGCCAGTGGCTCTGCTCGCCACGACCAGCATGGTTAGTGTCAGAGCTTAGCTGCAGGTCTTCAACAGGAAATTCATGCAGGTCATGAAGCAGCACTGGGGCAAGCTAGGCCGAGTCTGCGAGAAGTCCTTGTGGCCAAAGGCTGCTGCTTGCGCCTGGCTTGGGACAGGACGGACGGCCCGGCCAGGAGGCCCCGGCGATGAGGCGGCAGCCGTTGGCTGTCCCATGCGCACCGCTCAGAGTAGACGCCCAGCGTCTGTGAGCATCCATGCTCAAGTCCCGCATGCTGTTCATGAGTTTGATATCAGGTTCATGGACGACACGGCAGAGTGGCCTCATAGCTGCTCCCAGGACGTTGTCTACCCGCATTTGGCGCCAAACTCAGACCACGATTCGGGCTTTGGATCTCAATCATGTTGTGGATGCCAGGCGACCGTCACTTTGCCCCGACAATTTGGTGTGACTGTTGCAAAGCCTGGATCTGCCGGCTGTGGCGCCGGTTCAGTCAATGGCAAGCACAAGGCACGTTTCCTCAGGGGTTGGCCCGCGAATGTCAGCAGAGCGTCTGGGTGATCCAAGCCTTCGGCAGGCATACCCTTTGGGCTGCTGGGAGCTGCATCTCAATCCCATCCACGGTGGGGAGCAGGCAGCTCTGAAAGCGATCAAGGCGCAGGGGGGCCGGCCACAGGTCTATGCGATACTTCAGGTTTTTGACGGTTTGGACATTTCTTGGGTGAGCAAGACCTCCACAGCCCTCCCTTCCCCGCAATCGTGGAAGACTTAGTTCTTGTAAGTTGACCGCTTCTCGGCGAGACTCCGAAAGGCACCTCTTCTGTGTGAGCGTAGTGCAAGATAGCACTTTGAGAGCTCGGTGGGAAGGAGCTGGCAGAAATGAACCGCTTCAAGGCCAGCCTGCATCAGCCTGCTGAGACTCAAGGGGTGGAAAGGCATGTTTTCGTAAGAGGAGCCTTTCCTGGCTAGGACCCCAAGAGGGCTGCCGAATACTGTGGCCAGGATGCATTTGTGCTTCACAGCAGAAAGATCTCTTCCTCTGTGCTTGCGCCCAGTCCGGAGAGTCTCGGCAATGCAGGTCAAAGACACAAGCTGGATGCCGTGCGGAATAACTGCATGCGCTTCTGGGACGGCAGGACTGGGGATACTGGGGAGCATCGTGCCGACTTCACTCAGACGGTGATGGATGGCGCATAGCGAGAAGATCAGCGCCTGGAGGAATGTGCCCCTCATCCACCACTTGCACACCGTGCCTGGTCCTTGCATCCTGTACTCGATATGGAATCCCGAAATGCTTCGGGGTTTAGAGCGATGCGCAGGACAGGATTCTGCACCAAGGTCTGAGCAGCAGCTGGCCCGGCAGCTACTTGACCACGACTCATCCCAGTGATGTGCAGCCCCACAAACAGCGTCGGCCAAAGCAATGCTGGCAAAACGAGATCTCTGTGCTGTCATTAAAGCGAATTGATCAGTCAGAGCGGGAAACAGGCCAGCACTTGTAATGAGTCTTATTCTTCGTGCCTTTGATACTCGATTCAGAACATTCGCAACAAGGCGGGTGCTAAGAACTACTCCAAATGCCCGCGACTCTGAATGCTGTTTGAGCTTGCAGACTATTCTCCCCATGGTGTTTGAGGTGCTCGATGCCTTAAGACCAAGATCAAAAGCTGAACTGTCCTGACCGTCAGGTCTTGAATCCCAAACCCTAAGTCAAGGCGGAGAGTTAGGCGGCCCAACATCTGGAACCCTGTCACAAACATGTCATGTCTCAGAGTACTGTCCACTGCGCACTTGCAGGTGGGTTGCTGACTTTGGTCGTTTTGGTCTCTGTAGGTTCAAGCCATGCAGGCATGGATGACAAGAGATGGCCATGTCAGTCTTACAGGGGCCCACGTGGTTGCAATATTTCCGCCTGATCTGCTGAGCCGTGCACCCAAGTCACCCAATCCTCACATGTTAGTCCCACGCCGCCCTACTCTCACGCACATGTTGAAGAAAGTGATCGAATCTATATGCCACCGATACTGCAGCCCTGACGATGTTCAGACGGCCTGTCGCATGAGCCACGGCCTCTGTCACGGAAGTTGTCCTGCTTTCCCGTACCTGCCTGCCTTGGGGGCTCACGGATGAGGCGCCTTCTTGTGCGTCTCTGGAGGAAGCAACTTGTGATGGCGTGCTGGCCTCGGCCGAAAGAGCGCGTCGCGAGATGCCAGGGTTCGTGCCATCCTCTCGAGGATGGATCTCGTGCCTGTGCTGGTCTTTGAGGACGGAGTGCCACTCAGACGACGACAGCTCAAATCTCGACACCAGCTGAGAATCAAGAACACCTCGAGTGATTTCATTACCCGCCCTCCCTCCCACGCTGGCTCGCGCACGCACAAAGTCACTCGCAACTTCAAGAGCTGTCGAGGACCATAGAAGCAACCTTCAAGCTCACGCAGAACATGAAGAGTTACACCCTCCAAGACCGAGCAGAGTCAAGCCGAATGCAGGAACCAGCAAAGGTGCCCCGCCGGACCAGCAAGAAGCTGCTTCAAGGACTTCAGAGCCCTTGCTTCTTTCGTGAATGACAGTCGCTGCCAGCAGGACTGAGAAGATACCAGGACAGCTTTCCGCAGGCCCGATACTTGCTGAAGCAGCGTTGTGGAACATGCCTTAAATCAGCGTGGGGAGCTCGAGACGAGCTGCCGGCTTTGCCATCTATCATTCTTTCTGCCGGTGCAGCAGTCCTGCGGGCCTTGCCGGCTTTCGTCATCCGTCTTCTCGTAAGAGACCCTCCATGATCTCGTCGTTAAGCTCCCTGAGCATGCCTGCGATGTGCAGCGTCTGTGGCACCACGACAGAAGTGAGTTCCAGAGATGAAGCTGCGCACAAGCTCGGCGCTGCCTTGCTGTGCCAGGGATCTGAATAAAGGGCATGGCATGATGGAGTTTTTGTCAACTTGATGCTCTAAGGCTGCAGTCTTGAACTCCTGTTTGTGTGAGATTCGGAGGCGAACAGCTTTCTGCTATGGCTGCTGTGTCTGCGACTGAGACTGGGCCATGTTAGGGGGCCCAAGAAGCTGCTCTTGGAGTCCAGGCCTTCTGGTGATGTCCTCGGCGCCTTTCAACGCACCTTTCGACGAGGCCAGCCTTGGCACTTGGCCCTGAGAGTGCGAGCCCCGCTTTTCCGCTTTTCCTTTGGGCAGGCCATGCTTGGCTTCAGTCATGGCGCTGCCATGTGCCTCGGCTTGACTGTGTGCTTCCGGGTCTCGTGTTGTCAGATCTTCAGCGTTGTCTCCACGCTTGCCCCGTCTGCATCGGAGCAGATTCTGATGTCAACTGGCACCTCCTTGCACAAGGCTCTGTGTGCTGGCGGTGGTCTTGGCATGTGGACCTCGACTAGGCCATTGTTCTGGTGCTAATCCGCTAAACATGCCTGCGGTGTAGTGACGGCCCTGGGAAGGTCTCGGTGACTTCCGGCACTTCCTGACAGTGCTAGCGCTGCTGCTGTGGCCATGAGCTCGGCTGGCAGGGCCTGTTAGGTTTTGCCGTCTCAGATTCCCAGGCCCCGCAGCGAGCAGCGCTGGTGCCGAGCAATGCTGAAGGCGGAGAAAAAAAAACGTGTCCGCAAGTCACGCTGGCAGCAGGATGCCCTACCCTAAGCCCTGGAGGCCGGCGAGACCCCGGCTGAGGTGCTGGCACCACGTGCAGCACTAGGCCTGGTGTGGCCGCTTTGCCGAAGTGAGGGCCGAAGCCGGCCTGGTGTGCCTACGGCAGGTTTCGTGTTGCTGGATGATCTGCTGCGTGCCGTGCTCCGGTACTTCGAGGGCGAGCCTGCAGAGGCAAAACGGAGGGGTTTGTCTTTGGATTTTGATTCCATGCAGCCGTTATCAATTTGGCGGACTTTTGGCGCCTTCCGTCCGTGAGGTGGGTTGGCAGGTTTTGGGAGCCGATCTCATCAGGTTCCGGTTGTCGGGCTAAGAATCGAAGTCATCAGCGGGCAGTTCGAGGCGAGTCCGTGGTCCCTGCCCTTTGTCCCCTCTTGGTGTTTGACCTGAACTGCTGGCAACAATTGACAAGACCACAGCTTTGTCTTTCACGTCGTCGCAGAACGTGCGCCGAGCCCGGTTGGGAGGCCTGGCCCTTTGCGCTCACGAGCCGCGGCCTCTACCAGCTCTGGAGCCAAGACGAAGAGCACCGAGCTGAGCCACACCCCATTGTCTCTTCTCTTCAAGAGGGAAGAAGTTTTTGTTTATGAGCTTCTTCTCCTTCTCTTCCCCTTCTCCTGTTTCTGAGGTGGTGGGAGGCTTGCTATCGAGGCGCTGCTTGGCACAGGCCTTCGTCTTCCTTCGTCTCCTCCGGGTCGGCGCCCGATGGCCTTTGGAGGCTTCCTGTCAGACTCGCACCGCCGAGCATCAATCGGCTGATGAAGGAGGCGGGGGTCACAGAACAGAGGACACTGCTCATGCCAGGCCTGTTCAGTTAAAACAGGCCATGCTTCTGGCCTCCATGATGGCGGAGACATTCGGGTCTGCCTGGCTATTGGCCGTGACATGTTTGACGATGAATCCGTGCGAACTCAATTCGAAAACGCTGCCCAGCTTTGTGGGTCTGGAATTCATATTTCATCCTGCAGTCATGGATTCGCGCTCGTAGCGAGGGATGAGGGACGACCGTAAGTGCTAGCACCCCTTGCTTGCAAAAAACAAACGCCACAGGCGTGAGCTAGGACACATCGAAAGGTGTTTTCGCTGTTTGATAACTGGAGAGCACAAAGGATCTAGTTCCGTGGCCTTTCGTCTAGAACCTTTGCCCCATCTAGTGGGGAGTTGCTAGTGGAGTTGAAATGCTTCCCGGTGCGATGCGTTCTCATGACTCGCGTGAGGATTTGATCCTGGGCATCCCTGATGAAGATGGGATGCACTTGTCGTAAGGACTGGGTCCACCAACAATCTCGAGATGTGGGCCCGGTCAGCGGTCTCGTGGCCCGCGCTCCGGTTTGAAGCGGTCCGCATGGTCCACCAGCCCACGTTCGCGGGCCGCACACGGTCTCTCGACCGCGGCCCGCGGCCGTGCCTTCTTTAAGGGCCCCCACAGTAGGGTCTGCTTTTAAGGGGGTCTGCCGCCAAAATATCTCTACTGTTTAGGGTCTGCGGAACATCTTCATTAAAGCTTAGGCTCTCCTCGTAGGGCTAATTGGGGTTTGCGAGGAAACAGCATCTTCGTGTGGGGCCTTAGCGGTTTGCGGCCAACATCTTCTTGCACGGTTGAGAGTTTGCTTCTAGGGTGTGGGGTTTGCCAAGCAACATCTCTGAGGTTTCCGAACCACGTTTTTTGTCGGGTTGGGCTTGGAACCCACATCTCCTTCTGGGGGTGGGAGTTTGCCAACATCTCATGATGGGGTCTCGAATCTCGCCTTGCCACCATTCTTGCAAGCATCTTTGTGGTGTATGGGTTCGGCAGCCACCATCCTTTTAGGGTTTGGGGTTTGCCAGTCAGCTTTTTTGGGTTTGTGCCTTTTCCATCTTTTTGGGCTTGGTCATTGCCAACCTACACTCTGCGGTCTCCGCGCCCGCCGTTCGCGGGCCCGCGGACACGGCAAAAGAAAACCGATACTATACCCAGAATTGCAGGTCAGGGCGGTGGAACTTAAAGGATATGGCGACATGAAGGAAGAAGCTACAAGTGTTCCACAGCAGCGGTGGCCAAATCGTCAGTTCGCGACGGAACCCCTGCAAGGCTTTTGGCTCAGTTGCGGATGTTTAAGTTTCTCCGCCAGGATGATGGTGCTGCTTCAAAATTCCAGCACCGCCACATCTTGGGCAGCTGCGCCCTGCATAGCCGAATTCTCAGAGGCTGCTTCCCTGTGGTTCCTGAGATCCCCGCAGTGATCCCACAATGCCCGAACCCCTAGGATTAAAGGCACATCCACTATCACCAACCATCGCTGCATATTGCGAGGGACTATGTCCAAAACCTGACAGCCAGATTGTCACGAGATCGAAGATGAGTCGCGGTCTTGTCAAACTGACCATTCAACGGATCATCTTCTCCATCCCGACCTCATGCCTTTGCCAGTAGGGTCGCAACCTCTCATGGCCTTGCGTGAAGCCTCAAATCCAAGACTACCTCGAAAGGCTTCATTCTGTTTCCTCAGGCTTCAACCCTCCTGGTGGTCTCATGCTCACCCTGGCTGCCAAGGCAGGGTTTGTTTATGCCAGCTCCAAATCGCAATCGCCGATGTGGGCTTTCAGGCAGTCTGACCTAGTGCTCGTTGAGATGTCGAGACTCCTCAGCCTCGTGAGCAAGTTCGCCGTCTACGTGCAGGCGGAGAGGGCACCTCAAGCGGCCCCGGAGTCGCTTCGCTTTGCTGTGCCAATCACCTGCTCAGACTTTGCTTCTCCTCTTGTCCCTGGTGGCTCAGCCGCAGTCCCCGCTACGCTGTAGCCTACACCAGGAGCCCCTCTGTGAGCTTCACCGCAAAGCGAAGCGCCGTAGGGCAGAAAGTCTCAGGACGGCGAGGGGCTGACCGGCGCGTTTTTCTATCTGGAGACGGCGTCGCTCGTCGTCCGGGCGCCGGGGTTCACGGAGGGCCAGGAGCGACACTCGCCTTCTGGTGAGGTCCTGTGCAGCTTGGTGACGTACCAACTCCTGGCCGTGGCCTCGGAGCCTCGCCGAGTTTTTATCCGCTGGCCTGCTCTCGCTGGAGGCTGTGGTAGCTCGCTGCCGTGCCGCCTCGCCACTCTATGCAGTGCCCGCAGAGGACGGGACGAAGTCGGAAAGAGCGGAGGATGCAGAGGCACGACATCACAGGAGGTGGTGACCGAGCACGCGAGCCATCGCAGCAAGCCAGATGCTTGGTTCACGTGATGCAGCAGAGCCAAACTCATCTAAACGGAATCGATGCTTCCCTGCTGCCTTGGGTTCAAGAGCTAAGACGACAAATGCAACCCACGCCACATCCCACACCACCTTCGGCAACGCCCCAAGAACTTTTTCCACACACGCCACACCACACTCTTTGCTCTACCTTGTTGCATCGCTCTGCTCTCGCACGTGCGTTTCTACGACGAGGCGGCGCGGTCGCTGAAGTGTCTGCTTCATGTCACTCTGTTTCATTCTCCGAAGCCCGGGCATGCTGTCACTTCCTCGTGGTTCAGATGGCATCGGGTCGGACTCTGGTCTTCGGTGGCCGCGGCTTTGTGGGCGCGGCGACTGGGTGCAAATTCCTTTTTGTGCCACTTCCACAACAGCGACTGCGTTGTTTGGAATCCAGGCGATCTGCAAGGAGCTAGCCAAAAGAGGTGCGGTCACGGGCACGGGCACATATGCGCACTTTTGAAAGCTTCGTATCCTGCGACCCGAGCAGGACTCACTCCGGTGCTGAGTCTGAGCCGCTCCCAGCCGGCCCAATCCGAGGGCTCCACAATCCAGGCCGGGCACTTCAGCTTTCCACTCCGCAGTTCCTTCGGCTTTCTGCGAGGAAGTGGGTGGTGTGGATGCTCTGAAGCCAGAGACATTCGAGTCTCTTCTTCCAGATGCCCGGGCTGTCGTGATGCTTAGCGGCAAGGAGTAAGTGTGTTCGACAGGGCAGACGTAGAAGCACAGCAACTTGAATGTCGGGTTTGGAGATAACACACTGACATGCCTCTACCTGTCAATGGCAACTGCAAATGAGCTCGTTGAAGATTCGCTGGTTAGATGCAGGGCTTGCAAGAATCAGAGATGAGACAAACGTCCAGGATAGCCATCGGCGAGCCCCCATGGGTGACGGACAAGGAGCGTGCGATGAGGTGCAATGGTTTTGGTCGCCTTGGGCTGGTGGAACTTCCTGCAATCCCTTGAAGGTCGAATGGAACGACCAACATCACCATTATGCAGACGGCTGCGAAGCACAAGGACTAACCCGCTGCCACGCTTCCGTTGACTGGCTTCACATCACGGAAAGCAAGAGGTCCCTCGTGTGGTGCTCGTCAACGCCACGATGCCAAGTTGGGGTGTCATAGTCGCTTTGCTGAAATAGATCGGAGGCAGTCTTCACCTCTCCGAGCAACGATCATGCAAGTCTCTGTAACTTCTTAGGTGCAGATTGGGGCGCATGTTTTGATGCCTCACCTGTGCGGGAAAGCAGAAACTTCCGCTAGGCTGGATACCGCGAGGGAAAGTTGGCCGCGGAGCGAGAGGCCTTAAGCTATCCAGCTGGCAGCTCAGCCGATCCCGCTCGAACTCTGATTTGCTTCGGGTTTAGAAATTGAGGCGAGCCCATGTTTCCACAGCTCTACTTGTAGAAGCTGTGCTTGGGGTTGGCGGTTAAGGCTTAGCGGGAGTTTAGGGTTTGCGTTCAACATGGAGGGTTTGTGGCTCAGAGCTTCGTCCTAGTCATCGTCGACGTCATCCCAGGTTGATAAGTCCTTGCTGTGGAAATTCCTTTAGATGAAGCCCCAACTCTAACTAGGCTTGGAAAAGAACGACTACATAGTGACGCCATTGGGTCATTAATCTCATGAGGTGTCGGATACTGTGCCTTGTTTGTGTATGAATGGCTGCTTCCTGGCAGAAAGGGTATGACAAGCACCCTTTGTTTCAAGCATTTCCGCGCTGCGGAGGGCCGCTGCTTTGCGTAGAGCTGTTCGGGTTGAAAGCGGCTACGATCAATTGCATGCTGAGCCAATGATATACTATAATAATATACTATAAAAAATATACTAGAATATATTAGCATATACTATAATGTACGATAATATACTATAATTTACTATAATGTACTACTACAATGTACTATAATGTACTATAACATGGCTGGGGACTTTGTCTCGCCGTTCAGGAGAAGTGTGAGTCTCCCTGCAGCGTCCTGGTGCCGGGCTTGGGCGAGTCTTTGTCCTTGCCGTTCTTGGCACGCAATCCTGAAGGGTCACACACACATTACATGGGGGCCAAAAGGAGAAGGGGCTGACCCGTTTCATGAGGTCCCCTCGACCCCCCATGACCTTGGAAAACGAAGGCAGGCCGCATCGAAGGCCAAACCACAAGCAACCTGGAGAGGTAGCGGCAGAGCTGTTTTTGGAGGGATGCCACCAGCTCGAGGTGCCAGGGATGTAAATGTAGCTCCCCGACAGATGTCGGCTGGGATGCCGAAGGTCCCAGGTTCCCAAACCACGCTAGGTCCGCTAGGAACCATCACGCCGTTGAGCGACTCTGAGGTGATCAAGCCGGGAGCCATCTCCGGCACGCGCCAGGAAGGTTGCTTTCAAGTGCCGTTGCGGCCTTCGGACCTCGTTGTGTCGTGCTGCAATCCAGCGGCTCCTTTCATGGCAGATGAGGTTGTGGCTACTGCTGGAACCAATGCGCTTGGTAATGTCGGCCTTGTCAGGGCTCTGCCCTCAATCGATATTAAGCTTTCCATGCTCTTTGAGGGTTTACCGATTTTTGTTGACCTGGTACAAGTACAATGGTACAGAATGACGAGTAAGTGCAGAGCCCGTGCATCGGACTGCAGTTTCCGTTCAAGTAATTTGCTGGCGCATCACGCCTCTCCGAGTTACCGACTTCACTTGACTGCGCTGTGATGTACGCATTGTCTTAAAGAGCCGAAATCTCCCCGGTGCCTGCGGCGCCGCCCCTCTGCATCTTCTGGCAAGGGGGTGGGTCGGTGCATGTTTGAGGCCTTGTGAGGCCATCGAGAGATGCTTCCCCAGCTTATTCGGAGGCCGAGAGACGGTTCGTGAAACTATCTAGTGACTAGTGCTCCTTGGCGGTTTTTCGTGCCCCTGGAGGCGTCTTGCGGCCGCCGGTGCGGGTGGAGGCACCCGTCATCTCACTGGCAGTTGGAAGTCCGGGGCTTCGTGCATGCCTGCGGAAGGAAATTGCGATGGCAGCAGCGGATGTCGTTGAGGACTCGCTCTCGCTCTCTCTCTCTCTCTCTCTCTCTGTCTGTCTCGCTCTCTGTCTCTGTCTGTCTCTGTCTCTCTCTCGTGCGCACCGCACGCCACATGTGTTAAACTGTGTGTGCCGAATCAGCCGAGCCATGTTCGACGATGATGCTGTGGTCTGATGGCCACAGCATCGTCACTGGCCCGGAGGACACGTCTTTTAAGGGCATCCGCGAGATCGGCACGAAGGAGCTCGTTGGCTACACGAGCTTCTGGGTGGCATGAGGACTGCTTCAGTGCTGCTTCGAAGCTGCCTTCTACTCAGGTGCCAGTTCCCAAAAGAAAGACTGAATTGGACAGTTGGGCTTTTCCAGGGCACTCGAAGAGACGGCCTTGCCTCGGCATTCGCCAATTTTCGCTTCGCGGCAACAGACCGCGTCTGCACTTCCACACAGCGGCTTGCGATATCTCGCTCTGCCTCGCGCAGTCTCGCTTCAGTTTCAGAGTTCAAAACAAACCCTCTGATGCCGAAGGTTTCTGACACTTTCTGTCTCTCTTCTGGCTCTTCTGCTCTTGCTTGAACCCCAGCTTTTCAAGGGGATTTCTGCTCCAGGCCGCTGTACCTGGGAGCGACCTTGGGGTCTTTCGCTCCGACGCAGCTCTGCGCTTGGGAGGACGGCGGCCTCCGTTTTTTCTTTCACTTTCATATAGACCTGTCATGGACTAGTCACTAGTCATAAACTGTTCTGCAGTCAGAGAGGCAGAGAAATTTTGGGAAGCTCATGCGTGGCTGGGAACTCTTTTTTTCTCGATTCTCGGCTCTGAACAGCTCCAAGCCGCAGAGTCATATGATGAGGCTTCCCACATCCCCAGTGCCAGATGCCGAACACGCAGCAGCCCAGCATTACACACTCGAGAAGGGTTGCCTTAATCGCCGATTCGTTTCTCCGTCGTGTGGGCGCTTCACTGAGCATTGCTGCTCGCTTGAAACTGGCGCCTCTTTCGATCAGCGTCGTTGCTGTACTTTCCTAAGGGCCATGTCAAACTGCTTGAAGGGCATCGGTACCTTTTGCAGCCGTGGCAAGAAGGAGGAGGTGTCGATGTCGGAGCGCATCTGCTTGAAAGCTCTGCCCTAAAGCTCTGTTGGAGAGGCTCAGCCCCTCGCGGACCAGGCCTGTGCAATGGTGGGAGGGAGAGTCCACGTTACTGTAGCTCGGTCAGTGCATGTGCAGAGCATCATGCTCGCACAGGTCCAGGCCGCCTCGGCCGCCTCTGCCAAGCCTGGTCCTCACGGATGGTTTGCTGACAGCATCTGCCATAGCGCATGTGCATGTGGATGTGGCAGGGTTTGCATCAGGTTTGCACCAAGCCGTAGACTGGGCCCGTGTATTTCGGCCAGCTGTTTTGTGGCAACGGGAACATTCATCAGAGCCGAGAGGTGATGCGAAGCTCTAGGCAGAGGATGGGGGCTGGAAGATCGCGCGGAGTGGGGGGGGCTGTTGGGCATGTGGCAGAACGGAGCGACTTTCGGCCGAACGTGAAAGGCCGTGGAATGGCAGGTCCAGATGGATTGCATGTCGTGCGTTCGCTGGAAGGCTGAAACTTGTGCGCTGTAGGGAGGAAAAGGGGTGTTAAGCAAAAGAAGCCATTTTGAGTGGAGCGAAGTTGTGCAGCAAACTTCTGTGCATAAGATCAGATTCGAGTGTCTTTCTTGCCTCGACCATGCAGGCAAGCACCCTTTCAGGCGGGCCTTGCTCCGGAGCACTTCATGATGAAATTGTGTCGGCTTTCCCCGTTTACTCCGAGACGTGGGAGTGACAGGTAACCACGTCGGATGGTGCACAGGCCAAGCAAACGCCCAAGACGGCCGAGGCCGCACCAAGATCACGGCTTGTGTACGTCGCACGATCGGCCTTGTAAAAAGGCTCCGGCCTCGAAAGCACCAGAGGCGTGGCCCCGGGCCCCCCAAGTCTGCTTTGGATCAGAGCGGGAACCTGAAGGTCGCCGTCTGCGAACAGCCCAAGCAGGAGGAGACCAAGCCCGGCGCGCCCGCGGGCTGCCCGGAGGGCAAAGCAAAAGAGCTCTAGGTCCTAGGTCCTTTAGGATCTCCGGGACTCTAGGAGGAGCTTTCTGATGCGTTCTGGCTTTCCTTCTTGAAGGCAGCTCCAGCTCCAAAGGCCAGGGGCCCAGAGCCCGGAGCTGAACGGTGCGCTGATGCTACCTGCGAGGCTGCCTCCAGCCAGGCCAGGGGCCAGCTTGCTTTTCTGTGAGAGAGAGAGTCTGACTCTCCACAAATGTCCACTCTAAGGCCCAGAAGCCCGAGAGACGCCGTGCACCGGATGGCCGAGCCTACACCTACTCCGAGTTTGTTAAGCCCGCCATGCTCGTTTCTACTCCGCTCTAAGCTGCCACAGCTGCCCATGTCTACACAAGGTACTTCGGCAAGAAGCAGGGTGAGATGCAGTGGACGTATGCTCGCAGAGTCTAGACTCTAGACACCCGGACTCCGCGACCGGGTTTCTGCAGCACTTTGGTCATCCGCAGTTGAGCAAACTAGAGCAGTCGTAAGCTTGGTTGATTCTCTTCGGGTAGGCATCTGGGGTTTGGAGTTGTGTATTTTTCGAGCCTTGAGGGCCGAGAACGCGGGTGGCCTAAGTTCCGTCAAATGCGTTTATGTTTCTGTTGGTGTTCCCTGGTAGCTCCGGAAATATTGCCGTAGTTCGCAAGGGAAGGGTCCGCTCGTGAGCGGTTCCGCTGCAACTTGATTTCAATGTGCAAACACAGTTCAAACACATTTTGCCAGCCTTGCCTGATGGAAGAAGTGCTGTCGCCAGATAGTAGTGATAAACTCATGATATACCAGCGGCAGCATGCGGCAGCTGCGATCATCTTCAAGACACGAACGAACTCATCTTCATCACATGGCTTTTCTCCATCAGCGAACTTTTGACGATGGCGGGCTTGCCACAGTTTGATTGGCCATCATGGTGTCCTGTCCCAGCACTGAAAGACTGTTGAACAGCAACGTGATCGAGAATGCAGGGCAAAGGCAGGTTCAACAGGTCGCATTTCGAATAGGGGCACTCATTGTTTGGCTGCAGCGGAGTCTATGGACAGCTGCATTGATACGGAGAAGCTCACAAAAGTCTGATGCCAAGTCACGTGCAGTCGTTGGACCTTGGCGACTAAGCAGGACGATGTGCAACGGAGATGCTTGTTGTCCTTGCAGCAGAAGCTGTTGTTGCGAGCGTTCACGGGCCATTCCGGATATCCCCTTCGTCGTCTGTTTCATTCTGTTTCTGTCTTATCCAGGACCTTCGAAATGCGGTTGGTGCTCGCCAGCGTGTCTTTGCAGCAGACATCCGAAGCTGAGCTGGCTGGGCTGTTTGTTCTCTTCGTTTCCGTTGTTCTGCTTGGGCCATTACCCGCATGGTTGCATTCACTACAAGCTGTATGAGCACCTGCAACTGTAGGCTTTGTGCTGCGTCGTTGCGGAGAACTGTTGGTTTCCCGAGAGGCCTCGGGTTGAGAGTGCAGAAAGCTTCTTAGACTCTTTGCTTGTAGGGAATTTGAAGCCGCAGCTTGCGAGGCTCACCTCTTGTCACACCTGGAGGCGCTACATGTTCGGATTGAGGAGGCACGGGGCCTTCGCCGGGGGACCGGGCTCGGACCCGTCGGACCTTCTCCAGGTGGAGAAACGGAGGAACGGAGGTTCCAAGGAGCTCCGGGCCTTTCGGGTCTTTCTGCGCTCGCATCTCTGGTTTGACCTGGTTCTGGAGGGCCCTCGACTCGCCCTCCCCGGTCTGCTCGCCACAGGCACGGATCTCCTAAGACGGTCGTGTTTGGTGAGGTCTTCGTCTTGCGCGTCCCTAAAGTCTCGTCCAGGCCTTTGGACCAGCCTCTTGTGCGTCTTCGGTGTAAGTGCGGGGGCGTCAGATGCCACATGCCAGGGTACACAGGCTGTGATGGCTCTCGCTTCTTAGAGTATCTCGGCTCACTCAGATTGGACCATCCTCGGATGGCGAAAGCTCATTCTTGCTCCAGGCGCGGGGCAGTGATGATTCTATCATTTTTATTTGTGGCATCTCGCATGTAACTTCTCCAAGATTTTGCTCTGTGGCATTCTTGAAGTGCTGTTGAGAGGAGCACTGCTTGTTTGTGTGTGTGTGTGTGTGTCTGTGCATGCCCACGTGCCGCACGTGTCAGAGATTGTCAGAGCTTCATGGTACCGGCATACTCTGCTGCAGGCAGCACTTTGTGTCCTGCTGCTCGCACGCTTGGCGTACAGCTGGTGACCTCGAAGCAAGAGCGATAAGGTTGCCTACAACCGTAGCAGCATTCAGGCAAGCAGACTTGGCGGCTCCTCGAGAGAAGAGTTCAGGTACCAAGTCTCATTGCGCAACATGCGCGGTTTCCGGACAGCGGAGCACTCCGAAGAGTTCGAGGCCATATCGGCCATATCTTGGATTCGCCGGCTCTTCGTGCGGACAGACTCCAAGCATGTTTTGTGGAGGTCCGAGACCTGCGTCGCCAGACGTGCTCTTTGCACAGGCAGCTTGCAGAAACGTCAGGGGCTGAGCATCTGCATTGCGACAACTCGCCGGGATCCCTCACGCGCATATGCGCTGTGGGCGCAGCCAGAGGCAGCACATGATTCTCCAGCTCGAGGACTCGGCACGAGAAGTCACAGCTTGTCTTCGAACGTGTTGACCCTGTTGACCTTCGCCTTGTTCTGGTCGTTGCACGGGCAACCATATGCAATAGCTGCTACGCTACACAGCATTGCAGGCCATGTTTGGCTCGGACCATGTCTCACGCAGTCTGGAGGGCCGTCTAATGCAGCCCAGAAAAATCGCTGTCAAATGGCTACGAGACCTTTTCTTAGCGGATGCTTAGGCTAGGCTCCCCAATCCGAGCACTGCCAGAGGTCTTGCTTCGTTTGAGCTGAGCTGTTGCAAGCACGCGGCTCTCACTTGATGTCTGCTGCCGTGCTCTTTGCTGGTCAGACACCCGTGTCTTGGGTAGCATGGCGGCCCCTGTTGAACGAGACAGCACGTCGGGAAATTCGAAGATCCGACTCCAGACTCTGTAGATATCCATCTTGTTTAGGCTGGCTGCCTGTGGCCGGGACCGCGTTCGGCCCCGGCCATCAATGTCCACGCCTCGATGATAAGCACCGGTCTCAGCAGGCAAGTGCTGCGAAGATCTGCACCAGCATGACAATAAGTTTTGCAACCTACCCAATCTGATTTCAATGTTAACGAAGACCACAAGATGGCTAAATTGCAGATCAGGTTTCTACATGCCATATCCAGTAACAAGTCAAGGACTGCGCAGATGCCCACAAGCAGCACTACCATCTCCTGATATGTTTCTGGTTCCCACCCTGGCGGTGCCGCAGCTGCATGCACTAGACGCGCAGAAGAGGGCTGCTGATCAGGTTGAGGGCTCACGAAACTTGGCGGTTGCCTGTTGTCAGACCATATGTTGGGTTCTTTGCAGCTCAAGTCCTGGAATCTTGGATGAGCGCTCCCCTCTCCTTGTTTCCACATCAGTGCGCGACGCAGTTCACCGTGGCTTCAACGATTAGCTTGCAGTTTGTTGGATAGTCGCAGCCGAGCTGGTCAGGCCGAGCTTCGACCTTTGGGTCCTTCACTTCCTTTTCCCTGCTGGGGGTCCTACGACGGCTCAGGTGGCAGCGCTGGCGCTGATGCAGCTGCGGTCCGATGAGTCTGTCGCTTGACACCATCTGGCAGTCGTAGCCGTGCGAGCGAGTCTACTAGCCCCGAGCTTTTCACAGGCAGCAAAACCGCTACAGCAACCACGGGCCCCTGCTAGAGATTGGCGAGCGAAACTTGGCAACTCGCTTCGGTTTCATTTTATTTCGCTATCACCAAACGCATGCCCTTTTGCCCTTTCTCCGTGAGCCTATGCCATCAGGACAGTTCCAGGTTGTCGCCTTGCCTGGGAAAGGCCGGGTCAAATCGAAGCTCCAAAGCATGGCATCTCGTTCTGGAGATCGCGCTACCTGTCCTTGTGCTCATGCGGAGTGCTGAAGGGGCCTTCGAAGCTCCATATTATGGTTCTAGACCTCTGCCGGGCCAGCTTGTTTCTATGCTGGCTATGTGCCGTATCTTGCTGCGTAAATCTACATTGTACTTCACCCCTTTGTGTGTATCCCTGCACGTTTCCAGTGGTGCAGTGCGTTTACGTGCCATCTTGGGAGTGAGGCCTGGGTGCTGTAGCCCTCTGCCGCTTCGAGCCCGGGGATCTGGTCGCTGAGGAGGCGCCGCTGTGACCTGGCTGGCATTTTGAGCGGAAGAAAATCTCCTTGGCGTGAGCTTGGTGACGAGGCTGCAGCTCACCCAAAGCGGCTCACCCGCGGAGCAGTTCCAGCCACTGAGCCTACTAAGCCTACTAAGCCTCGAAGTTTGCTGCAAGCCCAGTGCTGGGACCCGGTGCTGGCCGAGGTCTCTTTCAGCTGAAGCCCGGCAGCGTATCCTGAACCTGAGCGATTTCGCGGCCGAGCCATGGCCAGATGTTACACAATTCATTCAATGCCCGTTTTCTTCCCGAAAGCATCGTGGTGCAGGGTTTTCGTTGGAGGTGGTCTGGCCATAGCAAGATGTGCTGATGTGGATGTGTCTTGCTTGTCGTGAGCATGACATGACGTGAGGTCTTCGAGACGCCCTGAGGTTTTTGTGAGGTTGCCTCTTATCGGCTGTCTAGTTTAAAGTCTTTGAGTTCATCGTCATGAACAGCGGGAGTCGCCACGAAACGATGCGCTTCTTTAAACGGCACTGCGCTTTTTTCTGCCTGTCACGATGCAGCCCTCTCGGAGGAGTTCTCCGGCAGGCATGATCCGATGTAAATCGAGGTAAATTGCAATACATTGGTCTCACGGTGGTCCCGCGCGTCCGCATCCTTAGATAAACGCCATCCGCTGTAAATCGCACTACATTGGCCTCACGGTCTCGACTTGACAACGCCCTCGGTGTTGCTGGCGTTTGCTATTTCCAATATACTGGCCTCATGTTGGCCTCGGAATGACTTTGAGGAAGCCTTCTGGGCATGTTTGTGAATCAATGGAATGCCTGACGAGGAAATCGGGAAGCAGGGTCACAAGAAAGAGGTATGGAAGCAACGCGATGAGCCAAAGGTATACAGGTCATGCCCGAACTTTTTGGTGTTGGTGCAGTTGACAGCTCGTCTCAGGAGAAGACCGTGCAGGGCATTCTTGACACGAACTGCTTCCAGAAAGGTCTGGGGTCTGAAGACCGGGTCCTGTGTCCTACGCTGGCTCGCTTCAACCACTCATGTGTCCCAAATTGCACCTCGCTTGCAACTTGGGCAAAAAGGCAGCCATTTATCTGGCCATCTGCGGTCTCGGTAAGGCCAACACGTCTGGGACAGCGATGCGGCAGTGATGCGCATCTTGGCCTCGACAGAAGTCGTAGCTGGCTGGGGCCTCAGCTACGGCCACCACGCTGCGCTCGACATTCCCAACCCAACACCTGTGAGGCGAAGAGCTCAGCGTAGACTACATCGACGTCCGTCAGAGCCGCGAGCAGCGGCAAGCTCTGCTGAGCACGATGCCCGGTGAGTCGCCGGAAATGCCGAAGTTCCTGGAAAGCCTTTGGGGTTGCGGTCCCTAAGGCCGCAAGTACGGCTTCAAGTGCACCTGCGCCTCATGCCAGAGTGCAGATGAGGAGAGTGACCGGAGGAGGCCTCAGGGTTGCTCTACGCTCTACATGTTGCACACAAATCTCAGATACAGTACGCATCAGTACGCAAGTCTACATATGCAGCCGCAGCAGCCGCAGCGGTCCTCGTTTGCAGGTTGAGCATGGCTCGCATTGATGCCGAGATCGGCAGCGCTTCCGCAGAAGAAGCCCTCAGGTCGCTCTGCTGGAGAGGGCCACGTGATACTAGAGACGGTATGAGTCGGTGTGGCAGCTGCTGGCGAAGCTGATCATCCAATCTAAGTCGCAACTAGTTAGGTTGGCACAGCGACTGCTGCGCCTCTATGACGATGAAGGGCTCCATCTTCAAGCTCTACGAGGCCGGAAAAAGGAGCGCGCCGATCCTCCGCAAACTGGGCTTCTGCAGGGCGTGCGGCCCTCGACGCCTGCGCGGCCTGCGCCAAGCGAGGGGACGCCCAGGAGACCGCTGCATGGGCCTCCAGGGCGGCCGAGAGCTACTCCCGTGGTCTAGGCAGACCGCTTTCGACTCGCTTTTGCCCAAACTCGAGTTCTTGCCTCAGAGCATCTGTGAGCTACAGGTAACCTACGCATTCCTTTCTCTGTTGCGAAGTTTAGTCAGTAGTCATGAAAGAGAACTTCGGTGCGAGCCAAGCGTCCTGAAACGACTGCAAATGCCGCCGGGGGGTTCCCATGGCAAACTTTCACTGCCGATGTCTTTTTCCCTGCCATGCATCTGTTTGCCTGCCTGTCGTCCTGTCTTGTTGCGTCTTGTCGTCTTTTGGAATGATTTCCTGATGCAGATCACAAATTTCGGACTTCCTTCGTACGCTCGTCCGAGTGCGGCGAAGGGCATTGGCGGAGCTGTAAGAATTCCTCCCAGGAAGCTCGGAAGAGAAATTAGTCCGTGTATGTATCAGAAAGCTCTTTGAGAGCCTTTTGCTCAAGTGTGTGGTGCTTGGTTGTTGCATGCGAAACTGTCTTGTGGTCGTGCCTGGAGGTCCTGGACACGAGCTGGTGTGCCTCGGAGCTGTTTGGAGGGTTGTAGAATAACAGCACGACGTGCCAAAGTACGATCACTTTCGCTTTGGTCACCGAGGCGCAGAGCGCTTGTCTATGCAGCCAGCCCTGAGAGCCATCGAAGTTGGCGAAGATGAGAGAAAACGCATGTACTCGTACCAGTTCTTGCATCAGTCCAGTGGCAGTGCCTGCATTCTTGGTGAGGACCGCCTACAGAACGTCAATGTCGCCATACCTCGCAGGCAGCGAGAGCGCCCGGGACCTGGAAGCCCCAGAGTTTGGAGTCTGCGGGCTTTGGGTCTGCAGGTCTCGGCCCGGAGCTCGTAAGCCTGGGCGCAGGGGTCTCAGAGCGCTGAGCAGTGCGGTGGAGCGGGCCGAGCTGACTGTGACGTTGTCGGGCTCAATGCAGGTCAGCAGCATGCAAGACACACGGAGTCTACAATCGCATTTCGTGCCCCGAACTTGCATCACCAGTGCGCCACAACAGTTGCAATGGGTTGTGAAGAATCCAAGCCGGATCAGACCCAGGAGTACTCCCGTCCTGTTTCAAGCAGGGCAAGCTGTCTAGCTGATGCCTGAAGATCAACGGTACGATGAGGGAGAGTGTCGATGAGTGTTGTGCCGTGGACTGCCGTCGCGTGAATGTCAGGTGGACGGAGGCACAGCCAGCGGAGGCATCTTGGGGTTTTTATCGGCTGTTGAGCTTTTGCAGCACCCCGCCTTGAATCAGCACGCTTCACCGTATAGCGCCAAGAGCTCAGTGTCTGCCTGCGCAGGGCGGACGACGCATAGAAGTGCCTTGGCTGTGCTGGCGGGGCATCTTGCCCTGCCAGCCCTGACGCATCCCATAGGTCAAGATGTCGGTGGAACTCTCACATCACATCTTGACTTCGGGTCTGCTGTTCTTGGTTTGTACTGGTAGTTTCATGCAAGCCTGAAACTCCGAAGCTGCACTCTGACTCTCGAGCTTGGTGGCTGCAAGCTTCGAGGGTTGCAATCGGTCTAGGATACAGGAGAATGCATGAAGCAGCTACCGGTGCACTCTGCATGATCTCATCCTTCGCGTTTACACATGATGCTTGCCACCTTGCTGTGATGCAAAGGCTAGACGCCAAATCAGTTTCATCGGTCCTTCTGCCGAAGCATTCTTGTGCACACTCTTGCCTGTGTCCCCTAAGAAGCTACACCAGTCTCCAATGCCATGAACACAAAGCAAAGCGAACTTTGAACCGAGACAGTGAGTGAACATTCCCAGCCGCCTTTGTCAACGGTAGTGTGTCCGAGGTGCTAATTCCAGACGGAGCCGTCGAAGGAGCTCAACTTGATTTCAAAAGCCCTGATGGAGTCTGGATGAAGGTGCGGTGAGTTCGATGCGGCCTGGTCAGAGTCTGCCCAGTCCTTCAAGCTTCAGTGCACGTGGCGCGAAGGCAACGGTACCGGAAGGGTATAACCCTGGCGACAAGTGTTGCTTGCAAGCTTGTTGGCTTTTCGCTTGGCCCTGCAACACGTGGATGCGAGAGTGCGCCAGGATATCCGTACTGGTTCCAGACGAAGCCCCGAAGAAGGAGACCAAGTCACATGTCCCGAAGCCAACAACGACGAGCTGTTGCCAGGAAAAGAAGTTCAAGTCTCTGCACCAGGAACGTTCGGAGCCAGCAGAGTATGCGACGTAATGCTATGCTGTGTTGGTTGGGCACGGAAAGAGGCCTTCCAGCACATGGACAAGAAGTTTACCGGCTACATCACGGATCACAGCCTGTTCGCTGAGGTAAGACACCAGCCGTAGACAAGCTCGCATCAGAAGCGCTGTGCTATCAGCAAAGGTTGCCAAAGACCTTCTCGGCCTTGAAGGCACCACTGAGGAGGCGGCGGGGGGGTGGGGACTTTTGAGTGCCGACAGAAAAGGCGTGGGCTGCTTTGTGAAGCTTAGCGGGCGCTTGATCGTGCATGTGCTCAGATTTGGAGCACTCTCGACCAGGACAGCTTTTTGCTGTGCTGCTTTTTGCTTTGCTTTGCTCGGATCTCCCCCTCAATCCACGTTGGAAGGATGGCAATGGGCAGGTGAACTGGCCAGAGTTTGTGGAATGGGCGGAGGCCTCGTTGTCACATCTGTGCTGCCATCAGGGTCCACTGTGCGGCATGCTGGGGTGGCTGTGGGGTTGAGCACGCTCATGCTTTGCTCAAGCTCGAGCTCCTTTCGACAGAGTCGTCGAGTGGCACAGGCGAATCACGTGGAGCTGGAGCTAGGCCCTGGGAGCGGTGGATGAGGAGAGGGAGGGTTTGCTCGCTTCGTAGACCTGCGCAGGTGCTCCAGGTTTGGGTGCCGACGGTGCCGTCGCCTTCCCTCCCCTCTGGCAGGGACCAAAGGACGACCCATCCTTCGTCGGGCCTGGGCCTCGGATTCGCGGTGCTTGCAGAGAGCTCTTTCCTCGGTAGGGAGCGGGTTGAGCGTCATTTTGAGGCAGTATGATGTCGAAGATGATGACCATTTCAAAGAGCTCATCGAGCTGGTGCGAAAGCTCTGCCCCAAGAGCCATAACACCTTCAATGTGCATCGACCGTGCTTGCATCATGTTCCTTAGGACCTACAAGAAGGTCTGGACACGAGATCGCAAGAAGACGGGGTCGGACAAAGTTCCCGCAAGCTTTGAGCTTGTGAAGGCGCGTCGTCAGCTCGGGGCCTAAAAGTTTCAGGGTTGGCCTCGGAGGCCAAGCGCTGCGAGAACTTGAAAGACTGGCTCGGCCCTTGGGGGCTACCTGCGGCCAGCGATCGCACGCCACCCTCTGACTCCGACGGTCTCTGAGCCGAGGAAGCGCTACTACTTCCGCCGCCACCAGCCTGGAGCTCGGCGTTTTTCTGCTGACGCCCCTTGATCCCCTTGATCCCCATGACAGCCCAGGATCGCCCACGCTTGCAGCCACAAGACCGGCTTCATGAAGAGACCAGTCCTGACAAGTGAGGCATGATGCTTTGCATCATCTGGCCGTCATGACGCTGAAGCTGCTTAAAATCATGGTAACTACTGGGATCTCCTTGGCCAGGCGAAAAAGCTATCCAAGAGGCAAGGGCTGCGAGGTCACTGCAACGAGCTGTGGTCCTAGCTGAGTGCACTCACTCTCCTTGCACGGCCCCAGTGCCAGTATTCACTAAGACTAAGGTGGTTCCTGTTCCACGGAACCAGTCCTGAAGCTGCAAAGTCCATCCTCTCCGGATGTGCGCCTGGCAATGTCTTGATTGCAACTCGAAGTAGCAGAAAAGCGCGGGAGATCAGGAGAGACAGAGAGTGGACCTGTGGCCTCCAGAAGCAACAGAAGCGCAAAACAGCCTTGTCCGTTCAGCTGGCGATTTCACCATCAGCCTGGCCGGGTCGGCGAGAGCCCCGGGGTGCTGCTGCAGCTTTTGAGGACTTTTTGCCCCAGCCTTTGTCTGCTTCAAGCAGCCAATCAAAGGCAACTGGCACGCTCTACGGTCCGAGACTCGGACCGTGCCTCCTGCCGGTCAGCCGCAGGGAGGGCCCGGTCACTCCAAAGAGAAGTGCGGCGGATCCTTCCTCCATTTGCCAAGGCAGAGGCACATACTTTGCAGAGTCCATCACGAAGGCGGGCCAGAGTGCAATGTGTTCCGACTAGCTCTCGGGACAGCAAGTCGGAGTCAGCCGCAGGCGGATGAATATGCGAAAGAAGATGATGACGGCCTTTGCTGCGTGTTGGTGTGTGGGCGGCTAAGATGTGGACGTGAGAGGCCGAACATGCAGTTGACATCGGTAGACCCCACTAGAATATGGTGAAACTCGGACACCAAAGCGCCCCATGGGGTGTATGAAATTCTTTGCGCCGAGGCCGAGTTGCTGCAGGGCATGTCCTTTACAACGATGAGGCTCCAGCTTCGCCGGCTGTTTTTCGCAGGGAGTCTAATTCGGGTCGCAGGTCACCCCAGATGCTGACAAGCGAGTGCCAAAGCTTTCTCCACGGCTGTCGTGTCGCCTTGTTCACCTGTGGGCATGCAGGAAAGCAGTAGCACAGTTTTCATGCAACCTGTTGTTTGCCAAGGCTGCAGCAGAGCTGCATCTCTGGAGAAACCCATAGCATTCTTGGCGACCGCGAGAAGTGCCGAGGCACTTTCAAGGACAGGGAATTTTTATGCCGCCACATGTTGGCGATAACAATTCTCACATGTCTGGCGCACATGGGCACTTCTCCCGACCGATTTTTCGAGGAGTTCGTTATCTTCGATGCAGATCAGGCCTCCTGCTCAGTGGTGTCATTCAAGCAGGTCATGGCTGGGTAAAGCCGTCGAGGTCTATGTCGAGTACGCCTTGTTCTACCGACGGAAGTACCATTGAGGCATGAGTCGGTGGAGGTCCCACTCCCTGAAGGGGCGTGAACCTTCGAAGAGGGCGTGGCTTTGTACATTGTATGGTCTGTATATCCAAGAGATGCAATCCGCAGCCTCCCTTGTTTCCTGATTGTTTCTGTTTCCTTGTCCTGACACGTCTGGGCTGCCATGCGTCCTGAAGAGGCCAGGTAATCGGCCTACAAGTGGAGCTGTTACTTGAATTCTTAACGATTTGCGATCTTCCGCAGATGACCAACGTTTGGACCACGGCCATGCCCACATCGAGGAGTCTGATCGCCTACGTTAGCAGAATTGCTCGTGGTGTTCACTCCCGTTCCGTTTGACTACGAGCATGTGGCTTGGACAAGACTGCCTGAGCAAAGTCGCTCCGAGTTTTGCAGTCTGCCCGTGCTGGCATGTGATGCGACCTCGTGCTCCGTTGTGCACTGAAGACTCCTGCCAACTTTGTTGCCTGCGGACGACGACGATGTGCCGTGGAAAGACTGCTTGGTTTGCTGCCTGTGCACCTGCTCTAAGGTGATCCTATTGGGCTGGATTGGATGTTCTTGCACGCTGGTCGCATTCTCAGGTCGCAGGCCGCAGACATCCATAGTCAACCAGCCGTTGAAAAGGAGATCACGATTTTTCAGCTTCTGTCAGATCTTGTACGGCCTTGGGCCCGAAACCCTAAGCCCTTAAACCCTTAAACTCTAACCCGAATCTAATTCCTCTGCGTCACTTTGAGGTCATCCTCTGGCCCAGATGCTTCGAAATGTTTCACCTGTGACGATTGCAAATGCAGCCCGTGTACAGTGCCAGCCGGAGGCCACACCTGCAGCTAAAAAGGACGGTGCTTGGGGTTGTTTGGGGGTTGAAGGCTTAAGGATGCACGGGTTCGGGGTTGGTGTGTACGTGCTGAGGGGTTTAGGGTTTAGTGTAACAAGGTTTTAAGGTGTCAGGGCTTTGGGGTTCAGGACTTGGGTATTGAACTGAATTGTATGAGTCGCCTGATTCGCCATCTAGCTGCGCCAGGTTGCCAACAGGGAGTCAAGCAAGTCTGAGGAGAACATGACGAGCTCATATCTTTTGAACATTCCTTTTCTTTCATGGGTTGCCATTCCGAAAAGAGTTCGCGAACTTTCAGCAACATGGCCCGTGGAGCAATGGGCTTTAACAGAAAATGCGTCTAGGAGGATTCCAAAGCTCTTTACACACTAAACACTGTGACAAGTGTCATTGCACATCTTGAACCAGTAACCCTCATCTGATGATGCGACATGCACTTTGGTGGCCATGTTTCCAGGCTCGTGCTCCGTGTGCTCATGCTGATACTTTCCAGCTCGCGACCATCGCAACGCGCACGGAGGTCCCGGGAGAAAGGTGCCCTGGTGTGTGGTGCCCTCACACCGTGTTGGAACCTTCTCCCTGGGTGTGAGCCTCGGGATGCAATCATGCATGCTGTCTTAGCGCAGGCACGCGTCTGCATCGTGTTCGATGCCGGCTCAGTGTTGCATGGTTTCCAGGCATGGGAGTGAATGAAGCTTTGGCCATCATCCAGAAGATGGGGAGTCCTTGCCCTAGGTCTTCGTGAGTTTGTCGAAAGTAGTTCTGTTGCCTTGCTTTACCACATCCTGAGAAACCGCCGCTCGTAGGTATACTGTGGCAATCCTCTGATATTGAGCACAGTGGGGATGGCTGATGTATCAGATCCGAGTGTCCCCAAAACTTACGTATCTGATCTGATCGGAGTGAGAGGCCAGGAGAAAAGACCAAGCAGGCCCCCCCCCCCCCCCCCCCCGCCCCCTTGAGACGAAGCACCTTCTGTCTTTCACTGTGAATCCGAAACATCTGAGCCTTTCTTGAATCCAGAACATGGCCGTTGTTGAGAGTTTGTCGACATGGACATGGAGAAGGATCGACAATCGCTGCGGTATAACTACTGCGGGCTTTGCTGCCTTCCCATGCTTGTCTCGTGGCTTGAGTGCACGGAGGTGCTTTTGTCTTTGCCGGCTTTTCATCCGCAGAGACAAGCTGGAAGCTGGTGATCAATTTGATATCAGTCGGAACCAGAAATCTTTTTGCATCTTGCGGCACTGGACAGAAGCACTCGATCGCCTGTCGGATGGGTCAGCTGTCGACGGTACAGTCTCGCAGTACCCTCCGGCTTAAATTACATGCTGATATATTGGATGGGAAAGCCAAACTTGGGATTTGCAGAGAGTATGTGTAAGGAATTGTTTGTCGTCTTGCAGCACCTGTGTCAAATCAAGCAGCAACAATCTGCTGAGAATTGCTTGGCCATCAGGTCTGGACCATGCGGAGCTCAGCTTCCACGAGCTGCGAGCTCAGCTTCCNNAGCTCAGCTTCCCAAGATATCTTTGGCTGAATGAACACAGTGGCAATCACCATAGCGAGAATAGGAAAAGTAAGAAAACTCAGCCAGAATAAAAGCAATTACAGTAAGTAAAACGGGTACTCACAACCGTTCAACAGTAATAGAGGCAGTACACCAACAGCGCAACAACAACAACA